CATTTTGAATAACTACCGTTTGATTTCCTTCACATACAAATTGTATTTCCTGTTACTCGTTTTTAACAGTTTTTTTATACTTCCAAGAAATGCTTTTCAAAATAACTTTGTTCATATGGAGTTACCATATGAACAAAGCAAATTCCTTTCTTCAAATCTAGTGATTCTTCACGACGATCGCTTGCAGAGCAATATACGACGAAGATGCCGACCGAATACACTGCTGTCGTCTTAGATCCAAACACTCCTCCACCGTACATGGATCCAACGAACAGTATCGCAAAGAAAAAAAGCATAGTCATGCACAGTAAGTGAATTTTCTTTTATGAGAAGGAGGTTCCGTCCTCAAATTTTTGTGGAAAGCACACTTCCACGTTGATCTGTGCTCTCAGATTTCGAGCAGCTATGGTAATGCGTAATGAAGTTCTAAATGTTTTTGCAAGCTAATTAGTTACATACTAGTAGACTTTATTAGCATTCTTAATACACAATATTCCTTTTGTTTGAACGGGTTTGATATTGTTGCCATTATTTTGTTTTGGCACCAAGTCTTTTTTAAGTTAAAATTCGAGTGCGCTTGGCAGATTCATCGCTTCAAACGGAAAAGATTCTTTCACTAATTCCAAATCTTATATTTAATATCTTCATGGATAGTTGAACTTCAAATCCAAAATGTGCCTCAATCTCAGTAAGTTGTGATTAGCGGATCTCTTTGATTTGATCAATTATGATACATCTTGTTATTCAAAGCTTTTCAAAGCAAAGACAGGCACATCATGTCAGAGCAGAGGCTGCTAAAACTATGATTATTGATTTCTCAGTTGTTAACTATATCAGTAACTCTCTATCAATCATGCCATTAAGGACAGCTTAACTTTGGATTATCATTTGATTCTCTACGCCGCAACAAAGAAGAGGACTAGTGTAAAATTTCGCTATACTCAAATAGGTTAAAATTATCTGCAATTAACGCTGTTATCATTTATAAAGGTAAGAAGCGTAAGATTTGGTTTTAAAGAACATTCGCAATAAAGACCTCATTGTCAGAGTGGAACAGTTAGAGGCGTAATGTGGTAGCTCATTTTGTCTTGACCTTTTTAGGGAAACTTCTTCATTTTTATGTACAGAACTCATTTAAACAAAATAACTGTTGCAAATTATCCAATAGGAACAGGGTCTCAAATTTGGTGAATTATCAGAATAAGTAATACGAAAGTATGCGCGAATTGAGAAAGATTTTCTCATGACATTATAACACTTATCGAACTGACGATGCAGCTAATGTTTGAAATTTATATCGCTCTTCTAGACAAACGTTTTACATTGTTATACTAATAATAAAAAGACTAGACTAGTTAATGGCGACATCATGTCGCATATGAGAAGTAAAATTAGGAATTCAAGCTCATAATTTGACAGCTCAGATGTGCGTCTCACCAAATCCAAAAATTTTAGAGAAGTCTGTGGAGCACACTGGAAAGCGATGTGAACACTGCGGACAGTTTGCACAGCAACAGCCAAGTATGTTACATATCAAAAGGACTGACGTTTTGTTTTTCTTTGTTTCTTTTGATATAATTATTCTCCTCTCACATTTAGTGGTAATTTGGCCAGCTCCGCGACCACATGATCATATTCGACCAGATAATACGAAGTTCATTGGCTACGTTCTGCTGATTGCTGTCGTTATTTTCCTTTTGTTCGCTGCATGCAAATATTTGCCATAATTATTTTTTAGCTTCTTCCAAACACTTGGAAGGTTAAGATTTTCCTGGCAAGCTGTTGGGCTTCGAAGTTTGATATTTTTTTACCGTACCTTAGAAAAAACCTCTCGATTTCACTTCATATATCACATGACCCTTTCCTTGTAAATACATACCTCGTCCTTTTTTATAAGCATTTCACCATTGTATATTCACTTTTGTGTGTTATGAATAAATATTTTTGTGAAAAATAGTATCTAAGTGCGTTTCGACATCCAGGCAACTCACTAAAGAGATCAGCATTATAGCGTCATTTAGGATGTATAGATACCTGTCATTAGGAGGACGGCAGCTGGAAACCCCTTGTGCAATGTTGATTTTCTTCTAATAATCGTTTAAAATTACTAATCTAGGCAACATCAGATAAAATCGAAAAGACAACAAGATGCCCATCCGCGTTTGTGCGACTCCAGATTTAGCTTTAGTGGTATACTTGCGGCGCACCTGCCACTTATGTGAGCGATCTTTACAGCGGTAGTGGGTCTCCGGAGGGCAGCTAGAAATTGTTTTTGGGGAGAAGAGCAAACGAGAAATCACCCGGGGTCCGGGAATGTGCGTCGTAGTTTTTTCCATCGTTTTCGCCACCTCCAATGCTCGCTTTCGTAACCGATAACTGCCTACCTTATCATCAACCTGCCCTACCTTTTTTGATTTAGTCCGGTGAGATCTATGTGCGGGAGACCTTAGGTCTCCCGGTGGCAAACTTTTTTGTTACCCATAATTTGCTTTCCTCATACCATACAATTCTTACTCACCGCTTGGTCCACTGTAGGGCAATAACCAAATCAAAACGCTTCCTCCTTCCTTGCTATGGCCTTTAAGTCGTTTTTCGGCGTTTGGGAAGGAGCACTTCGAGCAAACAGCGCTATGTTACTTTGGTTTCCTGGAATTTGAACAAGCATCCGTTCTCGCATGGTCAATCGTAGACCTCGCCGAGGCCTGATATCAAAACATGCTTGCATAGCCAAACAACTGGTAACCACCCCACAAAAGTTTTTCCCGAGCTTTTTT